GAACCCGACCTCTGCCACTTGACTTCCCCTGTCTAGGCTTAGGCAACCTGGCGGTTTCTCGGCCCTCGTGCTTCCTTCGAGTGGCGTGGCAGTTGGGCATTAAAAGGGTGCTGCAGCTGAAATAAAGAAAAAACTAACAGGCGACTGATTATGATCAAAAAGCTTCCTGGACTAGAAGAACATCACTGCTTACTCGGGCACTGTCGAAAAGAGGGCGCATTCTTACATGCCCACTCTCCGTTTTATTACGACAAACGGTCCTGTTGGCTAAATCACCAGATGGTGTGCAAGCAACTGAGTCTGATGGCTGATGGCCCTTTGGATTTGTCCATATTCTAATCCTGTATATATTTGGTCCTGTGTGTGGAGGCCATAACACGAGCCGATTACGTTCGAAATTTGTTCTCAATTGTAAAGAGGTTCATCAGGGACGGACGATAACATCCATGGTAACGAAAAAACATAGGACGCCTAAATCAGGTGCGACTCAACAGAGCCCCTCCTGCCGATCCGTGTCGTTTACCCCGAACAGAGGTTTTGCAGCATGACTGGTGCCAGAGCGTTGTTTGACGGTCACGAGTTCCGAATGTCCTGGTCGTACCACCTGGCAAAGTTGTCAGATGTTTCCCATAGGGACCTGGCAGTGACCGTAATCAACTGGCGAAGGTACCCCGAAATGACAGTGGTGGCGTGTATACATATGCCTGTCGTCTGGGGAGCGTTTTTTTAAATCCCCCTTTTCTATAACTCCGTCTAGCAATATTAACCTGTTCTCTCGTTTTATGTTTTCATTTTTTCACTTTCCGTTAACGGCATCACAAACTGTTTTCTCGGGCGCACAGTTCAAAGTAAAAAACGATCATCAGCCGCGATAGGAACTGATGTTTGCAAGATATCACTTCTTATTGCATAAAGGCAGATTGTGTTCGCATTCGGGAATTGTTCAACGCTAGACTAATTCGGCAGGAAATAAATTTTTATTCTGGCATTTTTTTCGCACGTGGGCATTCCAGTACAAATGGGAATCTACTGCTAACTAAACTCACTGGTTTAAAATGGATTCATCTGGAGTAGCTAACCAACACAGATATATTAAAATAAGCCTGTGATCAGAACGAAAAGACCTCCATACCAACCATTCTCAACTCATTTGGGTGTTTGTTTGACCTTCTATATTATGTTGCTTCTCCCTTCAATCATATTTTGTCAGTCATCACCTCTCCGAAAAGGTCTTCGTTTAAACCGACATTGAATGCACCGTTTATGCTTACTGGAACGCTATTCAGCAACCATCTCTTTATGAAGTCCGATCCTCGTATCCACTGTAGTTCAACCGTTCATTTATTAGTACTTCACCAATGTATCAATCCGTCGGTTGCTAACTAGTCTCCAATCACACACCAAGGATTTGTTTTTATCTAAACAAATGAACTTCTAAAGAATGAAACAAAATTTTGCTCCTTTGCTACTTTGATTAAGCAGAATCTGGCTTGTTCTAACGAGACGGATATATTTGTAACAAACAGGTTTATACACTATGTACTTTAACCCCCCACAAATTACAGTACATATAGGTTTTTAACAAAAACTTCTTTCCAAAAGAGGTTGGTTTGAAAAACTTCCATCAATCATCGAAATAATCGTGTAACGGTTTTAACCTTGAATGTTTCGCTAGCTACCTACAGTTTGTGGACACAGTTGCACTCACTTAGTGTGTTTTTTGTTTCAGAATCGTGGCTAGATGAGCTTCTCTGTTCACATGTAACCACAGTTTCTAAGCGGACTATGTGCGACGTGATGTGCGATTAATGCTAACGCCTATCCATTCCGGAATGCGACTTCTTTTCGAACTACGTTCCACCAATGTACATGTGACTTGTGACCTCTGCCTAGAGTCGCACCGAAAAATGTTTTCTCTGCCATACTGAAAGTTATGCGAGTGAACCAACTCGTTAGGTTGTTACGTACAGCCTACGTTCATGTCTTTTGGACCTGGTTGATTCTCATATGAGTGCGAAACTCTGCTAGATGGATGCAGGTGTTTTCGCACACACACACAAAAACGCAACTGCCTGAGGAACCTGGAACCACCGATAAGACCAAGTGTTGTACTGTTCCTGAAAAGGAGTGTTGTTTCACCGAAATGAAATATCACAAAGATAATGGTGTTTGTTCTCGAAAGCCTCCTAGTGAACACTCAAGTCAAAATAGGCAGTCACAGCCACAGGTGAACTTCAGTTTCTATCCTGGCTGATAGTCACACATAGCTACCCTTCGGAATATGGAGTGAGGGCACTAAAAGCCGAAACTGGGATTGTAGAGTTTAGACTGCCTCTGTATTCATTAGTTCTTGATTAGTATAGTATTATCATTGCACTCAAAAATCATACATACACACAAAAACAGGTCTCTGGTTTTATTCTCCATGCTAGCGGGCTTGAATTCTGTTCATTTGCATGTATTTTGACGGGAGTTTTGGCGTAAGGAACAACCAAAGACGTACATATGCTCGTAATTGGTCATAGAATAAAAGAAGTTGCAATATAAAATCAACCAATTATTCATGCAATATGCTGTTTACATTATGTGTTGATTTACTACTCAAGNGTCATAGTACTCATTGAAAACAAGAACTGAGGGAGATAAATGCATGAAGGGCGTAAAACTGCTCCAGAGTTGACATGTTTGCAACAAAAAGTCCTGCTGACGGCATGACCTACTGAATTCAATGCCCTCGCTTCAAGCAGTGGCCGAAGAGGCGTAGAATCTGCAGTCTTCCAGAAGAAGTGTTCTGCTTGGCCGGGCATCTGCTGAGCTATTGACACTATCTGGAGAATACGCCAAAGTTTTTCTGCATGAATTAGACCATTAGCGCCCCGTGACAATTGATACAGTCGTTTTTAAGGCGGACGAATTGTTTACTGAACGCCTTTTGGACCAGTTTTTCAATGTAGTGTGGCACACTACTACTAATGGCGAGTACCATTGCGAGTAGGGAAGCATTCACCAAAGGAAAATTCTGTAATGTTTGGCGAGGAAAACGCTGATGGTGATTCCTTTCGACAGAATACTTTGTGGCCTGGAATGGGCAGCTTAGAGTACCCAGTTTAGAAATATCCACATCACCCTTTGGAATTTCGTTAAAAACCTTGTTTCTCCAGAGACAGGGATGGTGTAATGGTGGCGTTATGCATTGTGGCCGATTGAATTAGATGTTTCATCCTCATGAACCTTATTATAGGTAGGAGAAGTAACTGCTCTCCAGGAACTTTTTCAGTAAACAGCAGAGATCCTTTGAAGAAACTAAGGACTAGTTTGCCAATGGATATCCAAGGTTGTCAATGATTTGGGCTCGACCTTTGAGGTTTGCTATATCTCACTTGATCGACATGTGGTCAAGTTCCCCCGAATCTGTGCCTTCCAAAAGCCCTCAGAAATGTTCTACTTATGTTGTATGGCAGAAGAACAAGCATGTGGCATCCAGTTTACCTTCTCGAACTGAATTTTGTCATTGTACCCTAAAAATGGGCACTGAAAACTTGTGCGTAACATCTTGCTGCATAAAAGAATGAGTAAATTTCAACCAAGTCATTTCACTCAAACGGAATGATCTCTTATAGGCCAAATCTTTATATCCCGCAAAAATGCGTCTCACCCCTACTTTCACGTGTCATAACGTGAGAAAATCCTCACGGTAGAACGGTTACGTACCGTGATTTTGCACGCTGATTTTGGAGTAACTCAATTAGGGTGCCCATATGCGTCCTCTTCTAATCACCCCTTCGACGTTTGATGGAACTGACCATGATATTGTCCAGGATAACATGAGAACTAGACATATAATGCTAACACCTTAGCACCTTAGTTTTCCGTAATAGAGCAGCAGTTACACGTCGGGGCAAAAGTTTATCTTTTTCCACGTTTTTTAGGCATCTCATATTCGTATATGAAGAGTGCTGTTGATGATACCTAATTATCAGAGAATTTAAATATTGACTTCCAAAAGAGTGAATTTTTGAGTTGCCACTGAATATCATACGTGGAAGCAGCTTGAATTTAGACGCAGATATTCCACCAGAGATTGTAGATTCTATGGAGTCTTTCTGCGGGATCTAATTTAATGAATGATTCCAGTTCGTCACTCCATAGTGTGAAACCCGTGGATGGAGATGAATATTGTGCCGGTTCTCTAAATACGCTGTGACTTGTGAGGATATTCGTACCTTTTCTCTGATCTCTGAGAGAGTCTAGGGTACCTCCTATCTTCGTCACAAAACAAAATGAGTAAACCAATCGAAGACTATCATTAAACTATGGTGGTCGTTGTAGAAGGCTTTATCTGGATGGTACTTTTTGTTGCTGCTGCTGCAGATTGCCTCGAATTATCCAGTATTCTTTAGGTAACGTCTAATTTTACCTGGTCTAGTGGTTCACAATGTGAGGGAAAAAGAGAGGATTGAATTATCTCAGTAGTTGAATGAGCTTCATCAACGCCTAGATGGTAAATCCCCCTATATCGTATTGGTAAAAGGCATGCGGTTGCGACATCATTGTACAGCAATTAAATGGGAACGGTTAGTGTCTAATAAGTGCTATGGTATCCCCGCCTCTTTGGAACTAATAATGATGTTAATTTCACGCGTATTGCACTGCAAAATCTAGGAAACATCAAATTACACAATTTTAAACATCGTCTGATAGCTAAAGTGGGATTTTCATTCATGTGTTTACCGCTGAGTTGAATTGCTGGTTGATTGACATTAGGAATTCGGCAGCAACTCTCACGATGAATGTTGTTTTTTCGTGACGGCTTGAGCCGTATTTCTTTACCGTTTCGTAGAATTCCTTCAAGGCAACGTGCTTTAAACTAATCAATTCCTTTGATACTAATAATACTGAAGGCGAATACCGGTGTATTGTTGGTTTCGCAGTGAATTTTGTCGGTATCCGTTTGGGCAACTAAATCATTTCCATCATGTTTCATCCAACTCTCACTCCAGCGTGTGGAACTGAAGCTATACAGACGCTACATTGGTGTCCGAGCACAGAGTACGGGGCGACTGAACGCAGAATCAACCTCAAGTGCTGCTTCACTCTGTTCACTTGATAATACTGGCCTCTCAAGGCCCGATCAAAACACGACGAGTACCAACCAAACGAGCGCTAATCAGTCGACTGTTCAGCTCAACGGCAAGGAGAAGGAAGAACAAAGACGACGGAAGTGGATACGTCGTCATCTCTCCACCACCAAGGGGGCTGATTCCAGCGAGTTGCTTCATCAAAGAGAATTCACTTCAACGCTGAGACGCCTGGAAAAGGAAATGGAAGATCGATTGCGTTTTGCGGACGATGAAGCGCGTATGGCGGTCGCCCAGATGGAATGGGAATTTATGCGTGAGAGACATGAGCTAAAGCGAGGTAGGTTAGGACTGATACAATCGATACAATGACACAATAATGGCAAATAAAAAACCTGATACCTGATACCAATACCTGCAACTTAAAATCACCATCCAGTAACTGAAGGTAGGAACCAAACTGGATTCACAAAGGAGGGTATTCAGTTCTTAAAATATGCATTATTCAAAGAGGTTATAACCAGAAGTATCTTATTGCGATTTACATGGCGAAAGAAGTTGTCGTTCGTTTTGTACGCTGCGGTGATACTGTCCGTGGTCATGAAGTATGGCAGAAAATTCGAGCTTAACAAGATATTTGACCATCGTCTGGTTGACAAAACCTGACTCCTTTTGATTCACATACAAGATTATCTGCAGGCATGGATTTTATGAACTCACAGGACCATTGGGTAAAAAGCTGGTTGAGTGAAAACGGACAACAATGGGAGAAGGACCGTAGTTTCCCGTCACATCTCTCCCATAAAATGAGTGTAGCTTGTGGCAATTGTCTACAACAACCTAGGTTTCTGTCATGATATTTGGTTCAGTTGCCAACGAAAACCTTATCGATTTGCGAATAAGTGTATTTATCGAAATTGGTTAGAATAGAACATAAGGTTGATGGAACCCCCGGGGACTGCGTCTGCCTGATGAGCCCCAAAAAGAACGAAACCAGTCGTGGGCTTTTGAAGAGTTTTCAGCAACATTGTAATTAGTTTCCACGATAAAAATTTATTGCGATATCTCGAAAATCGTACCAACTGAAACATGAGACGGCTTTTGTTCAGCGCATTCAGTTGAAGAATGCCATAAACGAGAGATTCAGTTGAGTCTCCTGTGGAAAGCAAATTGACGTGCAACTGAAGGTATCTGTCAGAGTATTTTATCCAGCTTCATTTTCTCACAAATTTACACATGCTCCGGCAAATACTAACGGCTTGTTGGAAGCGAAGTCTCTTCCTGGTCCAGTTTAAGATTAGACGATCTTCGCTAGCCCTAGGAGAAGCTGTTATCTTGATCAGGCAGACATGCGAACTCTTCAGACACAAATCATGAAGATTCGCCCAATTGTTCTAAGTACAATGAAGTGGGATAGCCTCCAAGGTAGGATTTAATAAGAGTTTTCTCTTGTTTGGTTCAACCCGAAAGGCCCACTGAACGCGCTGTAAGAAGCGCATGCTTCCATTCATTATTCGGGCAAAACTCCAGTGCAAACGATGGACTGAAAACGCCACACTGTTCGCGAAACCTAGTTTAAACAACCGCGAACATTCTACTGAGATTCACAGAGGTACATCTTCTATGGCACACATATGATAAGTAGCTCTGTTTCCTACTTTGTCACTGCATAATCCATAAACCATTTTAAGTGGTTCGTCAAATTACTGTGAGGCTCAAAAGCTGGATAACTGTTCTTCACATGTCGCAAGGGGTGCTATCCGAATGATACTTAGTCCTCTTTCTTTCAGCACCCGATAGAAGTGTGTGATCTCTTTAATCTCTCAGCATCAGAGATGCTATACTGTTTCACTTCGCTCTTAGTGAATCCCACCAAAGATACGCATTTTCAGTCAAATCACGATAGGAACTTCAAACGTCCGGCATTTTGTTGTCTCACAACCAACGCTTGTCGCGCAGCACGTCCCCTGGTCAAGTAGACATGACTTCACCTGAAATTTCAAGTGATTTCCATACAGTTATCAGTCCCTTTCCTGTTATCCTGAACAACTGTTATGTATTCGTAACGTTCTGGTGACGCAAAGATAACGATTGCTTTAACAGTGGTCAACTGCATAAACTTGTTGGAGAATTTTCGAGAGATACACTCATTTGCAAATCAATTTGGTTTTCACGGGAGACTCAAGTGAATCTCTCGTTTATGATGTCCCCCAACTGAATGTGCTGCACACAGGTCGTCTCATGGTTCAGTTGGCACGATATTCGATATACTGTGCTATCTCGAATATCGTGCCAACTGAATCATGGGGCGGCCTGTGTGCAGCAAATTCAGTTGGAGGATATCATAAACGACAGATTCAATCGAGTCTCCCGTGAAAACCAAATTGATTTGCAAATGAGTGTATTTCTCGAAAACAGTCCAATTTGAGTTCAAGTAGATCATGAGGTTGACGGAAACTCGGGGACTTCGCCTACCTGATGAGCCCCAGGAAGGGCAAAACCGGTCATAGGCTGTCGAACAGTTTTCAACAACCTTGTGAGTAGTTTCCTTGTTGGAGAATTCTTCTTTCTCGAGCTAAATTGAATTCCCGAGGTGACAAGCAAAGATAATCAGTCAAGTTATACAGCGTTGCCCTGCATATGTATTTTAAGCTGCCCCGTATTTAATATGACTCGATGTGTTCGGACGAACACATCAGTGGCATCCGTCCAGCTGCTTTTCTTTACACAATCTTTCATTAAAAACATGAATACCACACTTAATATGCATTATAAACGAATCCATACAGTACATGAAAGAAAGAATTCAGGACACGATCATTGCTTATACGCGAATCGCATAGGCTGAATAAAACACTTAGTCACCCTCGATTAGTCCTTTTTCGCACAGTCAAGCCATTTCCAGGCTTCGTTCCCTTTATATTTTGATTAAATCACACTTGGATTCAGTCGACGCATACTTGAAAAAATGCATAAATTCGGAGGCAATGTTCTGCACAATTGCGCCAAGTTACTCGCTGTGGCGCCTTTCACTCGACAAAAAAACCCGGGCTCATCTTTTCCTGACTATGTGCGATTTGAATGTGCTAAGTTTGCTCACACTAATTGGAGCTGATGCCAATCATTGTTGATCGATTCGCATCAGTGCGTCCAAGCAGGTCGAGACGAAAATCGGCTAGATCGATTGCGTCGTTGTGTTTTGCCACCAAATTGGCAAATCAGCCACCTGTCCCGAGTATCACAGTGCTCGAGTGAATGTAAGTTTGCGCGTGTTTTGACTGAAACCAATACTCGCAAGACAGCTGGTAAGCACAAGCGGTGAATGCGTGCTCGGCGGAGCAAGGTTGTGCTGTGTTGGTCACGCATAATGCTCATTTTACCGTGTTTTATGCTAATGAGCCTGTCGTTGGAAAGTGTGTACCTGCCTAAGTGAATGTACGCACTCTCGGTAACCTTGTCTGCTGTTGGCCATATTGGAGTGTTAATTTGATCATCACCAGTTAATTTTGTCACGAGTGTCCACTATTCCACAGTCCTAGACATTTCACTGTTGTTTAGAAAGCAGAGCAACGAGTCAAAGCCTGTCAACACTGGATGTTCAATAAAAATTAACATTCAGTCACAAATACGCACAAGAAGAAATGGCCAAATGACCCACAGAAGTCAAATGTTCGATGATTCCTGCTGTCCAGAATAATTCACATTTTTGTTCCAAGGTTCTTTACCAGTAGTTCATTTTTAATTGTACACACCATCTCAAGCAAAGCAATCCACACATCTGCCACACCTATTCAGCAGTGTACAGCCGCTGAATCTGGAGAGAGGTTCGAACCTCTATATTAAATCAGAGGTAGAAGCCAACCAAGATAATTGCTAAGCAGTTGGATCTGATTGTTTAATGTTTCAACGCTTATTAATATAGGTTTCCTTGTGCATTGGGGGCGAGATGGACCAAGTGGTTAGAGCGCGATTTTACTGACTGGAATGTCCGCGGTTCGAACCAGACCTCTCGACTTCCCCTCTCTAGGCTTGGGCAACCTGACAGTATTCCACCTCTCGTGCCTCCTTCGTGTGGCATGGTAGCTAGGCACGGAAAGAATGCTACGGCCGATATATATATATATA